TTAATAAAATTATGTATCATATTATATGGTCTTGGTAAGAACACTCAATATTAAGAAAATAGTTAACATGTAATATTTTAAACATTTGCATTTCCGATTCACACAAGAATCATACAAGAACAAACAAAGAAACATTTTGAAGTGAGGTGAATTACCAATGTCATTGTCAAGATAAAGTGCTTGGACCATATACACCTTCCTTTTTCTAGTAATCCTATTTAATACAAAAAAATAGGTTTATAGAATTTTAAGATGATAAAATATACGTCCAATTTGGGTTGTCAGATGACTCTCTACTAAAAAAATATATACATTTCAAAATATAGCTAAATAGATATGAATTCTAGATATGATTTTAAACGTATCTACCACCAACAGGTACCTCAGCCACTCTACCACCAACAGGTACATCAGCAACTCTACCACCAACAGGAACATCAGCTACTCAACCACCAACAGGCACATCAGCTACTTTACCACCAACAGGCACATCAGCTACTCTACCATCAACAGGTACATCAGCTACTTTACCACCAACAGGTACCTCAGCAACTCAACCACCAACAGGTACATCAGCTACTCTACCACCAACAGGAACATCAGCTACTCTACCACCAACAGGTACATCAGCTACTGTACCACCTACAGGTACATCAGCTACTGTACCACCAACAGGTGCATCAGCTACTGTACCACCAAAAGGTACATCAGCTACTCTACCACCAACAGGTACATCGGTCACTCTACCACCAACAGGTACATCAGCAACTCAACCACCAACAGGAACATCAGCTACTCTACCACCAACAGGAACATCAGCTACTCTACCACCAACAGGTACATCAGCTACTGTACCACCTACAGGTACATCAGCTACTGTACCACCAACAGGTGCATCAGCTACTGTACCACCAACAGGTACATCAGCTACTCTACCACCAACAGGTACATCAGCAACTCAACCACCAACAGGTACATCAGCTACTCTACCACCAACAGGTACATCGGTCACTCTACCACCAACAGGTACATCAGCAACTCAACCACCAACAGGAACATCAGCTACTCTACCACCAACAGGAACATCAGTTACTCAACCACCAACAGGTACTTTTTGTACTTGATATTTGTCACTGCATATTTATACAATGGACCAATGAAGACATGTTAAACTAAACCATTAAACTTCTATCAGCATAGAGCCATCTCAATGTTTGTTCTCTTTGAGGCTTACTCATTCTAGGAAATAACAATGAGTTGTTAATTTTTGTTATTATTTATACCCATTAAGTCAATTGTTTTGCTCATGCATCAAATTGCATTCTGTTTTTGCCAAACCCTTTGAAAGTCAGTGATATCTCTCTATTGAATTACCTACACAAGCAAATTCTGTTTATTTTATTTTCTATCCTGTTTTTTTTCAGGGCCTGGTGTTTCAACAACTGCTGCTACAGGTACTACATCAAGTAAGCTTATGTTTAGTTTTGGATACTCAAAAGTTTTAAAAACAACATTCAATATAACAATACAAATGATTGAAATTAAAATTGTTTTTTAGAATATATTAAGTTAAATTGTTATATATTGGTGTTACATCTATCATATCTTTAATTTCTTTTATAGCACCATGTACCAAGGTCGCTGGAATGGAAAACCCACAATTACTTCCTGCTAGTTATCTACAGCAACCAGCTGACTCCCCATCATCAGATAATCCTGAGAACTTAAGACCAACTTCATCAACTCCTTATAAGATTCCTAATGTACCAAGTGAGGGAGTTAACATTACAGTCCGCCTGTCACCAGATGGTAATCCAGTTCCTCTTAGTGATGTTGAAGCTATTAATACTGATAATGTTAAGTCAATAAAAGTGTTTGTATATGATGATACTCAAAAGGATTATGTACCAATAGAAGAAGTAACTGGCTCTGTAAGTTGTTTTGTTTTATGAATATTATTGTTTTTTATATTGTTGTTGTTGTTATGTTTTTATCTTGTTGGTGATGAGTTATTAATTCTCTGAACTGTGTTTTAGACATTAACAAAGAAAGTATTACCTGATGGAGTTGATACATCCAAAATCAAAATTCTTGTTATACCTGATAATCCAGACAATCCAGTTGAAATTAAATTGAAAATCCATGCTTGTTTTGAAGGTAATTCATAGTAAATGTTTTCTATGAAATGATCTATTTTATTAATGATTGATTTTCATATTAATATTCCAGCATGTTAATTCAGGTTTTTTCAAGTATATTACCATAACATCAACAGGAAGTAAAAAGCTTGTTGATTTATCTTTTGGTTTTACAGAGAATTTGTGAACATTGCATATACAGCTAGATGCTATTTTCATTTAAGGATTTTTAGCATTTGAACTTCATTTCTTTTCATCAGATACAAAAACACAAATCTAATATAGACACATGAATTTTCAGTTTCTCATATTGAAATATTTTGAACATTATAACAATGTACATGAATTCTTATTATTGAAATTTATTTGAAATATTTATGTGCATGATAAATCATAAATGAAAATATTACCCATAAGAAAATCTTTACTTTGATAATTAATAATTATGATTATTTCAGAAACACACCGACTTCCTGGAACAACAGAAATACCTACAGGAACTTCTGTTACAGAAGAACCACAAGTAACACCACCAACACAACCATCAGGTAGAATAAAGAAATTTTTAATGATTAGATACAAATGTTTTCTGGGGTCATTTACTTGGGCATGGACTATTATGAAATGTCAAAACAGTCAATATTTTGAATAAATTGTATAGATTGAGTGAGGTCAGAACTCAGTGTTAGTGTTGGATTAGTGCATAATGCATTGACCTCAATAACTCATTGACCTCAATGCAAAGTGTTGGATGACACTGAGATAACACTACACTTTGGGGGTATTTGGGGAACAATTTAACACTAGTTTTAACCTAGTAATACTCAGTGTTTCAGAAAACTGGCTAAGCATGAGTTTCCATATCCCTTTAACACTAGCCCCTGGAGGTTTACACAGTGCAGGGGTCAGATCTTAAGATTACATTAGTGAAGTGTTATTGTTCGCTAATATGTTTTTCTTGCCCGTTTACCAGGCAGACAGGCAGACGACACAGTCACGTTGGTTTAGGTTTGACACTAGAGTACCACAAAAGTAATAGGAGTATTATTCTGGTGTTTTGTATGTGTAACACTGATGCTAGTGTTATCGTGACTGGATAAGCACTAACTCTATCACTAACCCTAATACTAACACTAACACTCTCTTCTGACCTCACTCATTGTATTTCTTTGTTGCCAAAATTTTTTTGTGAGATAGAGGTGTGAATTTTGATCTTTGGGAAGACATGACTGTATGAATTGATGAGATATTGTTGTTTTGTTAAAATTGAATGTGAAAGAGACAGTAGTTTTGACAGTACTTTTTTTTCTTTGTTATAGACCATCCAAAAACATTCCATGTCACACTATTTCATATGTACCATTTGATCTATAATATGCTCTATTTTATTTCATATTCCTTTAATTGTTTACAGAATTATGTGAGGAGATCAATGGGATGGAGTCACCAGCCTTTATTCCTGAAAGTAGTGTCGATGGGTTAACTCCAGAGCAGGTAGCAGCATTGAGAACTGGTTCTGTTTCTGTCAATACTGGTGTAGAAGAAAGGATAGTTTTCACAATTGATTTAACACCAAATGATAATAGTGAAGTCCAGTTAGGCTCTTTTAAGTTAATAAACACTAACAATGTAAAGGATATTGAATTGGTACTGATAAAGAATACTGGAGCAGAGGAACTTGTTACTAATCAAGTAAGTAGGGATTTAGCAAAACCCTTTAGTATAAAACTGATGGATGACTAAGAGTACAGAACTGTTGCAGCATATCACCTAATTAAGTCTTATGTATAGATTTAATATCTGTCATGTTGTCGCAATCTTGTAATATTCTATATGTTAATTGACACCAAAAAGACATTAATTCTCAAAAATACAGCCTAAGCTAACAAATTTAATGATGTTGGATAAAGTCAACTTAAAATATAAGCATTCATAAGAAAACAGATTTGATTTTGAGAAACTTTGTGTAATTTTACTATTTTCTTAATTTAAAAACTTGTCAAATACTGTGTATATCAAACTTTATAGAAAGTCTGTTGTATTAGCCCTTAGGCCTACTTAACCCAAATGTGTTTAAATTTACTTGTGTACAATCTGATTTAATCTGATTTTGAGAAACTTTTCAAATTTTAGGTTATTGTCTTTGACTTAACCAAAATATGCAATAAGTACACCATAGAGACTTCAGGTTTGATTTGATTTTAATGAAACTCTGTGTGTGTGTGTATTGATTTGATTTCACACGAGGTTCATAATTAAGATTAAAGATTTTCTGCTATTGCCTGAACATTATAAAGACTACAAATTTGATCAGAATCTGACAATCTTGGTATGCTGTGTACACAAATATTTTTTGTTTCAAACTTGGTTTTGTGAATGTGATGTTTTTAGCAGATTTTGATACTTGATTTGAGAGTATGTATCTACAATAGGTTTGGTTATTGCTCTATTTTGTTAAAAATTAGTATGCTATTGTGAATTGATTTTTATACGCCCACATGAAATGGGGGGCGTATATTGCCGTCACTCATGTCCGTCCGTCCACAATTGCTCGTAAACACTCTACAAGACACAATTCTTGACGGATTTTGACAAAACTGGTGTCGTAATCACCCAAGGATGAACCCTATTGAAAATCAGAAGAATCTAAAAATATTTAGTGTGAGTTATTGCCCTTGTTCTTGAAAACGCGTTCAATTTTTCGGTCGTAAACACTCTGGAAGGGACAATTCTTGACGGATTTTAACGAAACTTGGCATGAGTGTTCGTAATCACCCAAGGATGAACCCTATTGAAAATCAGAAAAATCGAAAAATATTGGTATGAGTTATTGCCCTTGTTCTTTAAAAACGTGTTCAAATTTTAGTTTGTATACACTTTAGAAGGGACAATTCTTGACAGATTTTGACGAAACTTGGCATGAGTGTTTGTTATCACCCAAGGATAAACCCTATCGAGAATCAGAAAAATATTTAGTATGAGTTATTTCCCTTTTTCTTGAAATCGCTTTAAATTTTTAGCCTGTAAACAGTCTAGAAGGCACAATTCTTGACAGATTTTGATAATATTATTCAGTATCAAAAAGTTCAAAAGAAGTGTATGTCTGAAGGTTGAATATTTAATACTGGTAATTGTTAATGTACTGTCAAATATTTTTATTTAAAATCTAAACTGCCAGTGGGCATATATTACCTTGCCTGGCAAGCTATCTTCTAAAATGATTAAGAGATGCTTCTTCAAAAGGTTAATGATGTCAGCATGTAAAATTTCTTATAGATTCTATGAAATTGTTTTGAAATCTATGTATATGATGTAATATAACTGCATAACAGTACAGTAATAAAAAATTGTTTTTGCAGCCTGGACTCAATTCTCAAACGCCAAGTGCAGACTTCCCTCCAACAGACAGTGCTGAGAAGATAAGAGTATCAATATCTCGCGAGGATGCATTGCTGAATGTAACATTTGGAATTGATTTAAGAGCATGTTTTGAGCAAACTGTAGCTCCTCAAGGTATATGATCTTTCTCTTCTAACATCTCTTTCATTGAACTTTGGTTCTTTGATCCACTGTATAATTATCGGGTATGTAATGGATTGAGCTATCACACCTTCTCAAAATGATGGCAGATGTAGTTTAACATATCCACAATAATATAAGACACTAGACTGCAATTTTATACACTTGGTATCTAACCCATACACTTGGTATCTATATTATGCAATATGATGAAGCTTTATCAATTTTTTTTTGGAAACTTTGAATGAATGATTCAAAATTAAAATTAATGGACTTTGGAATGGAATGGAAATATCTTTACAACTTACTGATACATCATGTGGATGTAGAACATAATATTTTTAATTTCAAATGCTAATATATGTAAGTAAGGCAACTAATTGAAGGAATAAAATGCTGAATGTACCCCAGAATATGTTATTGTCACAGCCTGTAAGTTTCAGTGGTGCAGCAAATGTTTTATTGACAGGGGACCATGAGTGCCCTGCGTCTTTTGCCTTTTAGGATACATGAAATATTCATCTCCCAGATACAAATCATTCAGGAATCCAAATTTTATCATATGTATTCCGATTATTATATTATAACTTGTTTTGTGTGAATTAGTCAATACAAAATATTTTTTTAAATTCTGCCTGTAGTAAACAAAATAATCCACATTGATTCTATTGATTATACGGTGATTGAAACCAATAGTGATTTTTGTACAATTTAATGGTAAGTTGTAACAAAAAAGAGAAATTGTACCTAAAGCCTGATATAACAGTTTTAGAAGTCTGCTTGTATTTGAATAATTGAATAAAATAGTTGTCCATGTATACTCACAAAATTTATTTCAAATTCAATTTATATTTTATTTTATTTTTTTAGAAACAACATCTGCAACTTCCAAACCAGGTAGAGCTTTATTTACCTCTTGTAAATACTAGTTACATTAATCAGTCAAGGTTGAAGTCAAAGTAAATTTGTGTTTTAAATTTCCAAAGAATGACCCAATTGACCTGCTTATATACCTAATCATTTAGATAATTGCAAAAATAGTACAAATACAAATAATTGAATTTTCTTTATTTGCTCTTTACAGAATGTACTGAAACAGATGGTATGAAAGATGCACAAATAATACCTGATTCAAGTATCACTTCACCTACATCACCTAGTGTTGACGTAACTCAAATTAGAGATGGTGGTGCATCTTTCCCTGCTGGACAGATTCCAGAAATTGTAATAAATCTGACACCAACATCTAACAGTGAAGTTGAAATTGGAAGTGTAACTGTTCCTGTAACAAATGTTGCTTCAATTACTGTTACACCAATTGCTTCTGATGATACTGAAAAGACTGGTGATAGCGTAACTAAAGTAAGTTTTAACATGTATCATTTATTATTTTATATTACAATAAAGTTTTAAATAACAGTATGATTGCATTTTGTTTGAGAGGATTATTACACCTTTTGTAACTGTTTATTTACTAAATCTTTTGACTGAATTATTACAGACTGTTGTTGGAAATATAGCTAGTGTTATTTTCCCTAATGATGTTCGAGGTGATAAGGTTAAAATTACATTAACTCCAGTAGGTAATAATTTACCAGTTACCACTACTGGTGCATTAGAAGTTAAAGCCTGTTTTGAAGGTATGTAACTATCTTCTTATTCAGAATTTATGTTTGGGCTGGAAATAATAGAAAAAAGAGAATTCAGTAATTTTATATAAACCAGTAATTTAAGACTTTTTTATGTACAATGATACTCATTTTGTGATTTAATACTTAACTTAATGTTTAAAGTTGAAATGAAATATGAAATTTCCAATGATTGTTCATTTGGAATGTTCATGAATTGTATCATGTAGAGCTCTGATTTGATTCATTCTTTTAGAAACTGTTGGACTTGGAGTTTCACCAACTCTTGCTCCACAAACAACACAAGGACAATCTGGAACATCAGCAACAGAAGGACCACAACAAACACCACCATTAGTACCATCAGGTAAATTATTTTCATAAGAAATATAAATTTGATATGTACACTACACTTAGAACATATATTTCTATATCATCATGATATTTTGCCATACTGCCCCATTAACATTTCATAATTGTATTTGACAGAATGTACTGAAACAGATGGTATGAAAGATGCACAAATAATACCTGATTCAAGTATCACTTCACCTACATCACCTAGTGTTGACGTAACTCAAATTAGAGATGGTGGTGCATCTTTCCCTGCTGGACAGATCCCAGAAATTGTAATAAATCTGACACCAACATCTAACAGTGAAGTTGAAATTGGAAGTGTAACTGTTCCTGTAACAAATGTTGCTTCAATTACTGTTACACCAATTGCTTCTGATGATACTGAAAAGACTGGTGATAGCGTAACTGAAGTAAGTTTTAACATGTATCATTTATTATTTTATATTATGATAAAGTTTTTAATAACAGTATGATTGCATTTTGTTTGAGAGGATTATTACACCTTTTGTAACTGTTTATTTATTAAATCTTTTGACTGAATTATTACAGAATGTTGTTGGAAATATAGCTAGTGTTACTTTCCCTAATGATGTTCGAGGTGATAAGGTTAAAATTACATTAACTCCAGTAGGTAATAATTTACCAGTTACCACTACTGGTGCATTAGAAGTTAAAGCCTGTTTTGTAGGTAAGTAAAATGTTCAACTTGTATTTTTTGTATCTATTGTATTGTCTATTTTTTATGGGAATTCATTTTGACATTACAAAGTCACATAGGAGCACTAACAACAGAATTTTTCTTGTATAATTTGATGTTGATTGTTTTAGTTTATATCTGTTCTCTATTATTTCAGAAACTACTGGACCTGGTGTTTCACCTACTGTTGGCACTACAGCTGGTCCTGGAACTACATCAAGTAAGCTTATGATTTTAAGATGATCAATATTTGCAATAACATTTAATATGCTAGAAAAGTAATTTGATGGTTACTATATATTAAGTTGAAGAGTTGTTTATCATGGTTGCAATAATCATATCTATTAATTTCTTTTATAGCACCATGTACCAAGGTCGCTGGAATGGAAAACCCACAATTACTTCCTGCTAGTTATCTACAGCAACCAGCTGACTCCCTATCATCAGATAATCCTGAGAACTTAAGACCAACTTCATCAACTCCTTATAAGATTCCTAATGTACCAAGTGAGGGAGTTAACATTACAGTCCGCCTGTCACCAGATGGTAATCCTGTTCCTCTTAGTGATGTTGAAGCTATTAATACTGATAATGTTAAGTCAATAAAAGTGTTTGTATATGATGATACTCAAAAGGATTATGTACCAATAGAAGAAGTAACTGGCTCTGTAAGTTGTTTTGTTTTATGAATATTATTGTTTTTTATATTGTTGTTGTTGTTATGTTTTTATCTTGTTGGTGATGAGTTATTAATTCTCTGAACTGTGTTTTAGACATTAACAAAGAAAGTATTACCTGATGGAGTTGATACATCCAAAATCAAAATACTTGTTATACCTGATAATCCAGCTAATCCAGTTAACGTTCAATTGAAAATCCATGCCTGTTTTGAAGGTAATATTTTGTGAATATTTTTGCTGAAATGGTCGATTCATATTGACTTAGTTTCAATTTACTGAAGAAAGTTTTATTTATGTCCACTTGAAGATTTACTTCAAAATATTGTTTTGATCACATTTAAATGCAAATATATGAATATCTTGTTCCAAGATGATAATGCATGAATTCATGTTTTACTGGTCACCCATTTTTCAGTTCTGCCATTTCATATTCTTTATCTATTGATAGAAACTGTTGGCACAACACAAAGACCATCTGAAACATCAGCAACAGAAGGACAACCAGGAACATCACCATTATTACCTACAACACCTGGAACATCAGGTAAATTATTTTAATAAGAAATATAAATTTGATATGTACACTACACTTAGAACATATATTTCTATATCATCATGATATTTTGCCATACTGCCCCATTAACATTTCATAATTGTATTTGACAGAATGTACTGAAACAGATGGTATGAAAGATGCACAAATAATACCTGATTCAAGTATCACTTCACCTACATCACCTAGTGTTGACGTAACTCAAATTAGAGATGGTGGTGCATCTTTCCCTGCTGGACAGATCCCAGAAATTGTAATAAATCTGACACCAACATCTAACAGTGAAGTTGAAATTGGAAGTGTAACTGTTCCTGTAACAAATGTTGCTTCAATTACTGTTACACCAATTGCTTCTGATGATACTGAAAAGACTGGTGATAGCGTAACTGAAGTAAGTTTTAACATGTATCATTTATTATTTTATATTATGATAAAGTTTTTAATAACAGCATGATTGCATTTTGTTTGAGAGGATTATTACACCTTTTGTAACTGATTATTTACTAAATCTTTTGTCTGAATTATTACAGACTGTTGTTGGAAATATAGCTAGTGTTATTTTCCCTAATGATGTTCGAGGTGATAAGGTTAAAATTACATTAACTCCAGTAGGTAATAATTTACCAGTTACCACTACTGGTGCATTAGAAGTTAAAGCCTGTTTTGTAGGTAAGTAAAATGTTCACGTTGTATTTTTTGTATCTATTTGTATTGTCTATTTTTTATGGGAATTCATTTTGACATTACAAAGTCACATAAGAGCACTAACAACAGAATTTTTCTTGTATAATTTGGTGTTGATTGTTTTAGTTTATATCTGTTCTCTATTATTTCATTTCAGAAACTACTGGACCTGGTGTTTCAACTACTGTTGGCACTACAGCTGGACCTGGCACTACATCTGGTCCTGGCACTACATCAAGTAAGCTTATGGGTTTAAGATGATCAATATCTGCAATAACATTCAATATGCTATAAGTTGAAGAGTTGTTTATCATGGCTGCAATAATCATGGTTGGATGGTTGATGACCAATTTATGTTTGCTTCAAGCTTAATCTGATATCTCAAACTAGGTAGTTGTTAGTAGTTATAGTAGTTGATAATTTGCAATAATCATATGTATTAATTTCTTTTATAGCACCATGTACCAAGGTCGCTGGAATGGAAAACCCACAATTACTTCCTGCTAGTTATCTACAGCAACCAGCTGACTCCCCATCATCAGATAATCCTGAGAACTTAAGACCAACTTCATCAACTCCTTATAAGATTCCTAATGTACCAAGTGAGGGAGTTAACATTACAGTCCGCCTGTCACCAGATGGTAATCCAGTTCCTCTTAGTGATGTTGAAGCTATTAATACTGATAATGTTAAGTCAATAAAAGTGTTTGTATATGATGATACTCAAAAGGATTATGTACCAATAGAAGAAGTAACTGGCTCTGTAAGTTGTTTTGTTTTATGAATATTATTGTTTTTTATATTGTTGTTGTTGTTATGTTTTTATCTTGTTGGTGATGAGTTATTAATTCTCTGAACTGTGTTTTAGACATTAACAAAGAAAGTATTACCTGATGGAGTTGATACATCCAAAATCAAAATACTTGTTATACCTGATAATCCAGACAATCCAGTTAACGTTCAATTGAAAATCCATGCCTGTTTTGAAGGTAATTTTTTGTTAATATCAGTTCACCTGTATATTTGTCAATCTGTCTAGCTTTTATTTACATTACAAGCTACAATTATCTTGAAGATACATGGTTATGAACAAATCTCACACGTTTTGATTAAGTTAGAATAATGGTGATGGCTTTATACGATTACATTTTCACATGATTTTAAATAGATTTTAAACCATAATTAATAATAATGATTTAATTCATTTAGGAAATTTGATGTCTTAATACCTAACTAATAATGACTAATTAGTTAAGAAAATTTTTTTTTAATTGTAATGGAACCAAATGTCAGATTTTGTGTCTTAAAAGAGATTTAGATATATATATTTGGCTCTAAGAAGTTGCTGTATAGAAAGTATTTAAACATCTGAATCGCTTTCATAAACATACTTTTTCATTATTTTTAGAATATAAGATTAATCAAAGTTGCCATAAAATAAATACCATCTCAGAATAATAATTTAAGCCCAATACCATGAGATACAAATAAGTAACTTTTATAGTTTGGTGCCAAATTTATTTCATACATAGTAAATTTTTTACATACTTTAAAAAGGTTTCTTTTCAATTCAGAAACTCATCCATCACCTGGAACAACCACAACCGGTCCAAGTAAGCTTTTAATATTTTTTATTTTTTATGTATTAAATGAGTGAAATTTAAAAAAAATTTGATATGATTAAATTATATTTGTATTTATTATTATGTATTTACTGGATCAAACGGAATTTGTTTTAAAGGGGTTGATTAGAAAGGTAGTTTACCCATTAAGGCGTCATTAAGACTCTACATTTTTAGCTGATACCTTAAGAATTCGTAGGAGATATACATCTCTTCTCTCAATTTTTGCATTTATTTTATTAGTCCGTACAGTAGTCTTTTCACACGCAGTAAAAACATAACAAAATTTAAATAGTCTAAAAAATTAATAACAGGATTTTTTTAGTTGTATCTGTCAGATAGTTTAACAGACACATTTCTCTAGATGTCATAAATTTGAGCAAAAACTTTTTGACAAAATATCATTGTATTTCATAATCTTTCTGAAGTTTGATTTATAGCCTTTTTACCTTTTTAGACCAATATTCTAAAACAATTACCATTTATTTTAAGGTATCTGTACTGATGAAGAAGGTATGAGTGATCCAGCTTATATTCCTACAAGAAGCATTACTTCTGCTGGTGTAAGTGATGTAGAAGATCTTAGACCCGGAGATAACCCTGCTACATACAATGCTGGAACTGCACCAGAATTTGTAATAGATTTGCTTGCTGATTCTGAAGATGATGTTGAAGTGAAATCAGTCACATTACTTGATGCTGAAAATGTTAAGAGTATAGCTGTATATATTGATGACAGTTTAAGTGAAGCACCTCAAACTGGTAATGTAAGTATAAAGTATTTCAGAATATCTTATCACCTTCAGACCAATGGTTTGGTATAAAATAAAGTTCATAAAGTGTTAGATTCAAGTCTTACTTACAAAAGCTTTATAGCAAAATATTCAAACTAATGATGGTCAAAATACTGTGGGAAAATATTTCTTTCTTTCTTAAACAACTCCTGAAGAAAAGAATAGTAATTGGTCGTCGCTTCTAACCTTAGCTTTTAGATTATGATTATGTTGTTTGGTTAGTTATTGGACTTATATCTTTTACATATTAAAACTCTTATATTTTATTAGTCTGATCCAAGTGGAAGTCCACCAAAGGTTATTTTCCCAGCTGGAACAAGGGCTAAATCTATAAGGGTGGTTGTAACTCAAACAGATGATGGTGTTGAAACTAAATTTAATGTAGATATCAGAGCTTGTTTTGAAGGTAAGGCTTTAAGTTCACAAGTATTTTTTTTTTTAAACCTTACATGAATTTACATAATTAACAATTGATGTTCATTTTGGAGTGTACAATGAGTAACTCGTTTTGTAAGTATGTAGTTAGATCAAACAAAAAAAATTAAAATAGAACTATAAGCAGTTTGCAGTGGCATATTAAAGACTGCTTGTCATTTCTATGCTAGTGGCAGTTTGTGACATTTTTCAAGTTTAAAAAAAGAGAACAGGATGTAGTGCAGACTTGTTGTTTCTAATCTTGGTCAACATGTGAAATTTTGGTGAGCTTAAATAAGTAATTTTCTCATTTCTCCAGTTGACCCAACTTTAAATGGGTACATATCTCAGGAAAGATCAATGAAAAAGGTTTTACCAAGTACCAGATGGTAGACAGGATCTCAGTGAATATTAATTGTTATTCTTGTTAGAAGTGGTTGTTTTATTATATTTGCTCTCCACTACAAATATTTGAATTATGTTTATATGAATTATCGTAAATTACATCAGTAACTTGCATTTAGATGTCTAATTGAAGATACTTTATAGCTATGCCATTTTATTTCAGTAACAGCTGCACCAGTTACAACTGGAGTCTCCGGTGAGTGTAAAATTTTCTTTAACAGTGTGCAAGCTTTGATATTTCATTTTTTACTTTCCATATAGATTAGATAGGTTTATTTTTTTTATATGCCAGTGTATATTGTCGTCACCCATGTCCGTCTGTCCCTCTGTCTGTCTGTCCGCAATTGGCTTGTGAACGCGATGGAGACTACAGTTTTCATCTGATTCGAATGAAATTTGGTGTGATTATTTATATTGATGAGATCTTGGACAAGTTCAATATTCACGGTTTATCGATGAACGGTTTTTGATTTATTGCCCCTGACCTAGCCAAAACGCATCAAAATTGGCTTGTGAACGCGATAGAGACTACAGTTTTCACTGATTTG